GGGGGGGAGGGAGGCGGATGTGGACGAAGACACACACACACACACACACACTCCGATTTGAGTTTCACCCATACAATTCAAACCTCCAGGTTGCCATTCAGTGACCGATTGACTCTGATTTCTCATAGAAATCCCTCTTCCCCGCGGGTAGGAAACACTTGTGGTTCTGGACTTATCCAGATAACCATGATTTTGGTTATTGCATCGTGTACATAGTTGTGCTATTCAGCCTATGAACATGTTGTATATGTGAGGCATCAGATGATGACATTGTAGTTTTGTGAAATTTGGATTTGACCACAGAGTGCAAGGGTGAAAAGAATAAAGTGACGCGACTTTCATCACGAGGTTGTCACTCTTAATTTTCCAAAGATGTTGTACAAAATGTTTCTGATCCGTTGTTCAATCGGATAGATTTCTGAATAACATTTCGTGGTATACAATGACGTGTGCAGGATATGTATGAGTTTCAACTGAGTACTGTTGGCAAAAATCAGGTCGTCTGATTGAGTCGTGTTGTAATTGTGAAGTTGTGAGCGCAGTTCTGGACGGTGAAATAGACAAGTGCATTAAATGTTCTGGGGAGAATACGCTTGTCATCATTTACCAGTAATATAAGACTTCTTGACCAATCTACTGCATGTGTGAAATTTATCTTAAAGTTGTCCATCAAGTGATTCACTAAGCCGCAAACACCGCTGAAAAGAAATTTCATCTGCTATTCCTAGGCTCTGCTATCCTGTGATACTGGGCAGCGGTGGTAACCCGATGGTAAAAATCGCCAAATTATCACCCTAAAGGACGTGTTCAAATCCCACCTCAAAGCCTTGATGAAGTTTATGTAGATTGCCTCTACTGTTTTATTCTAATCCAGACGAAGCTTTATTTTTCATCAATAGACATAGTCAATTGGTAGAAGATTTATTTCTAGTAAACCCATGCTGTGCCGGAGTTCGAAGCATATTGTTCACCAAGTGCGCACCAATTTTCCTTCTCGCTATCCATTCTTAACACTTACATAATACTGATGTTAAACTAACCGAGCAATAGTTCTCCGCCTATTGTCTGGACCCTACTTTCTTTGTTGCTACGACGCTAGCCTTCCGCCAGTCTTCTAGCCCCACCCTCGAGTTTAGTGACACCTTAAACAATTCAATGACGGGTCCAACTATCACCCCATCTCGTGGATCTCACCTGGGCCCGACCCCCTAAGGTTGCACAGAATGCTGAGCTCAGAGGGAGTACCTCATCCTGAACTACGGTTAGCACCACGTAAGCTCATCTGCAATACTTTCCTCCGTGAGGTCGTGACCACATTGCTTAGGGATTGGTGATAGACGCTTCTGAAAACACCCATCAGGGTTTCAGCGCTGTTCCTATCTGTGCTGGAAATGTTACTGTCCACCATCTCCAGGGTTTCAACACTTTCACGTGTGGTTCTCTTGCGCTTTCCATGGAGCTTGCAGTAAACGTAGCATCTTGTGTGAGATGTGGGCTCTTTCTATTCAAGGTAAATACCATTAAAGTCTGTTTTTAGATCTATGGAGAACCGAAGAAGTTAATTCTATGGATAGGTTTTATTTCAAGTTGTATATTGCCACCCATCTCTCTTCGACTGATAGCTCTGTCACATCTAGGAACAAACCTTTGTTCTCAGCAGTTCACCTTAGTTGCTCCTCGTTGATCCTGGTCCAATTTCGAACAAGCTTGACCTTTGACTTGCTGTGCTCTGCAACATACATTAACCGCACCATCCCATGATCACTCCTTTCTAATGGTTCCTCCGTCACTAATGAAGAAAGGTCTATTCGGTATCGAGTTACAACTAAATCTAACGTTAAGGGACTAGTTTGGCCTCTGAATACCGTTAAATGTTTATGCGTTCTGGGACAGCTCATATTGATGCACCCAGGTCGACATTTTTTCACCAACACAGACAGCTCCTTCGGACACTTTCTTTTTTACATTCTATCTCTGGAAAACTTAAGTCACTCATGAAGAGGAACTGGTTTACTTTCTACCATCCTCGATAAACACCACATGCTCAGCAACCCTATCCGCTCATATGCATAAAACTAACTTCAAACGTCCCATTCACTGGAAGTCACACACTTTCAGTACTGCATGAACATGTACTCTCGGCATCTCTCGGCGTCTGATGCACTATACACACAAAAACGATATTTAGGTACACGTTTTGGTTGTTCATTTTGTGAAAATCGATTTAACATACCACACGGTATTTTGGTGTACATGTGTCAGACAAACAGTATCACGGATGGTGGGCAGCAGCACGGGGTGATTGAAAAAGTACACACACACATACATATATGTATACGAGCTCGCTACCGGATTTGGGCAGTCAAACACCAGTTCAGTCGACAATCCAACGTGCGTGCACATCGTCGCAGAGTGGCTGTATCGCGAGCGGCCAAAACAATGATATATTGTAAAAATCCACACCAGGGTAGTTTGGAATAGATTTCCATATCGCATTTGTACCTTTCACAGATCGCCTTAATTCTGCGGTCATCCGGATCGGCCAGAATTGCTTCTATGTTCGCAGTTTCTGGAATGAAAAATTTATGTCGAACTAATTTGCCACGATTGCGGCTCTGTGGGGTATAGATATGCAATGGGACGGAGAGAACACTCTCGTTGGAACGACGTCTTGCGATCGAAATGGAGACGGTAGGTGAGATCACGGGAGAGGGTTTAGTTGTAATCTTGGTTGGTACATTGGCCGGAATGGGTTGGGGTAGTTTGAGGGATATCGGTGCCGAGTTGCGTTTCAGCAGGGTCGATTGTCGACTACTGCGCGTTACGGTTGGCTTAGATCCTTGATGGTGTAGTTCCATACAAGAAGACACGTTGGATACAGTTTCAGCTTGTGTTGATTTATGGTCCCAGGGCGGTTGAAAACCTGCATCTTTAGGTAGCTGAAGTTTAGCCTGTGAGTTTAGTTGAGCTTTCAAAGGAATAAACAATCCATCATTTTTCTTTATTTCAGGAATTGCAGAAAAAGATTCATGTCTTTTGCGCGGCTTAATATTATTAGAGTCTAAGGCATCCACCACTGATGTGGTGCGCTCTAAGGATCGACTAAGTCGTAGATTTGTTGGTTTCACCTTCATGTTTAACGTTTGAGTCGGTTCCTGCTCAGCGGATGTTTGAGTTAGAGAAGAATCTTTTACATTTGGCCCCGTAAATTGAACTGGATTTTCCGTTACAGGAACCGATTCGTTCATAGCTACTTCTGGTTGATTGGGTGTATTCATTTTTTCCTGATCTTCTTCGGTTTTTATTCGTTCGTCTAATGTCACATTCTGCAATCGGTTGTCTGCGATAGCGATTTGAAATGATGATGGGTAACGTTTCTGGGTCGTCGGAATTCGTGATTCACTCAGAGCGCGCTGCTTTTTTATGGTTCGTGGAATATGTGAGGAATTCGTTGCATGCATATCGACAGGTGTAGCTAGTCCGGATCGTACTAGACTTGACTTCAGATTTGGTGAATCGTCAAGTTTGAAGCAACCTCTGCGTTGGCAGGTTTGTTTTTTTAACTCACCAGCAGAACCCACTCTATCTTTTTGATCATTCTGTGTGTTCACCCCCGGGGTGGCTTTTACATTCAAACCATTTTCATTGGCTATGGTTAAATGGGTGGATTGTGACCTAGGACTTGTGTCTTCAAGAAAACGTTGGGGCTGTTTGTGATCATTAGTTACGTTTGCGGTCGTTTTTTCAGTTGACCTATTTGAAATTTTATCGGACATCAGTACATGGTCCAATCGTTTTCGATGTTCAACATGATCAGGATGGGAAGCGATAAATCTGACTGTCTGGGGTTGTTCCAAAGAACTGACGGATGATGTTTCTTCTAGCGTGCTGGAAGAGTGCATGATCACTGAATGTTCCTCGAATTCTTTGCAGTTTGTCCCGGGCAGCTTGTTCTCGCGTATTTCTGTCTGGGTTTTGTTTAACTTGAATGCCGTAAATGGTGCAAGCATGCATTGTTCAGCGGATTCCGTTGTAACAGGTTTTTGTAGGAACGTCACCGGGGATTTCCCGAGGAGACTGTCACCAAACGCGGACACACCAAGTATCGGATACAGACTTGTGTGACGTCTTCGTTGATTTCTATGTTTATAATTAAGTCGCTCCAAGGCTAAAGTGCTGTTCAAATGCTTTACGGTTTTGGTTTGACCCGAGGGTTTTCGTCTGGGCTTTGTGTATGGAGCCGGACGTTGTCGATGTCGTTTGGAATTCTCGCGGAAATTGGTGGTTGATCCACCGGATATGGTCGCCGACAAACTATCCATATCATCCTCAAGTAATATCGCACTGGATTGCATCGCATTTGCATCCGCGTCCAAAGTATAATTGATTGAATTCTTAGCTGCTTCTGGTGGTGGTGGTGGTGTCACGCTGGAGCATCTTTGGGCAGACAGGGAACTGACGTCGACAGACATTTCCGAATTGGATGTGACAGAGGTTAACAAACGGGCATTCTGTTTCAAATCACTTGGTTTACTTTGCATATCTTCATCGCATAGGGCAAAACTCAAGTGTTTTTGATTTCGAGAACAATAGGCAGATTTTTCACCTTCTGGTTGGCAGAATGTCTCGTTTCTTGAATCAAGCATCAGAGTATCATGATAACTGTGATTATTGTGCATTGTCGGCTCGGTAATGGAGCCACTACCACATTGCACAGCACGAGAAATCACGAAAGTTCGATGAACAGGGACAGCATCATGGGAGTAACGGTTAAAATTGGTCGTGGCATGTTCTGACTCATCCCACATGGATGTTTTACCATCCGTCAGACAGCATACGGTGTTCCCCATGGAGGTTACATGGGAATTTCCAAAATTGACATCAAATGTGACCAGATGAGAATTACGTGAACAGTGACAAACGGAATTTACAGTCGAGGATGGTAAAGGAGAAGTGGTATGTGAACTGGATTTCACCTTGTTCTGGGTCGAGAATGAAGTGCACTTCTGGTCCGCAACAACAAACGGTGTCAAACGAATGTCCCGATCTAATTCTCCAAGTGGATTTACAGTCAGTGGTTCTTGCTCTTCCCTTGAATCAATGCTATCCGAATCGTCTTGTGAGGGGAATGTGCAAACATCCGCTATAAACTCGACACAATATTTCGGCATAACGTTTTGACCATGTTGCAGTGCTGGTTCAAACGGTGATAGGAATAAGTGGTCGTAGACCAGTATATTATCAATAGATCAGAGTCGGACATATCGATTCCTTTTAAATTCCGCCAAGGTCACCATCATGGGATAATCATGTGACTACTGAGCTGGCCGTATGCGTGCCGAGTGTCTGCCGATGAGTAAAGATTAGACGGTCAGTCCCATGGAGTACATAAAGAGAATGCAAACTGGCAAACAAGCTCGTTTTCAGTGTGTCTTAATCATGCCATTACAACACAAAATATATGATTAACAAAAAGTAAGGATTTAAAAGGTAAAACAAGGAAAGTAATTAAAGTATTCAACTGCCTGTATCATAATTAGTCCCCGATTATCATTTGCTTCGATGTTTCATGACGGGCCACTTGACGACAATCGGGGCATGAAAGCTTGAGGGCTTGCACAAATTGTTTCTGAGCACACAGCAAGAGGGGGGGCTATGAAGACGGCTACTACCTGCCTAAGCTGTGACTAGAATGCAAAACCACACGTGTTTAGAACATACCACTTTAACTCCAAACAAAGATGGGGACGCTTCGGTCATGCTTACGATAGGATTAGTGTCGACAAGATGTGACACAATCACACTCGTGATTGACTTAATTATGGCTTGTCTACCAGTGTTATATATATATATATTCTCGTCATAATAACATTGTTTGCAACGCCGGGTGACCATTGGATAGACAGCTCTTTCAGAGTCAGTCCAATGAAGAATGAATGCTATGATTCGATGTTTGTAAGTGGGTTAGATGCTACTAACCGCAACAAACGTGACATGATGGTCTTGGCAAAATGTTTGATAATAGATAGTATGTGAATGACTAGAAAAAATTTCCCTGGAAGCACACAACCGGTTTCGCGGTCCTTGCCGCTCTTCAGACATGCGTATCCGATAATCTTTTGCCAGTTCATTCGTATACTTGCACCAAATATTCTGCCAAGATCATCAGGTCCCGTTTGTTGCGGTTAGTAGTAACTAAGCCACTTACAAAAACATTGAATCATAGCATTGATGCTTCATTGGACTGGCTCTGAAAGAGCTGTCTATCCATTGGTCACCCGGTGTTGTAAACAAGGTTACTGTGACGAAAATACACTTCCTCGGTACAAGTATATGGATGAACTGACCAAAGATTACCGGATACACACGCCTGACGGATGACAAGAATCGCGAAACCGGTCGTGTGCTTCCGGGGAAATTTTGTCTTCATTCACATACTACTTAATAACAATATATATATATATATATATATATATATATATATATATATATATATATACACAACAGATGCCTCGTCCTGCGGTCAACATACTTTGATCCACAGGAGCAAGTGAGAGAATAAACACATAAAGCGATAGCAGAATCGGGCACTGTATCTGTCAACCGTGGAT